TTTAAAGATGGCGCTCATTTTGTTAAAGACCGTTCTTGGCTTTCCTATGCGGCACTTTATTTCCTGTACATTGCTCCACTGTTCGTTAATAATAGTTTCCAGGTAGCAATACTGTTTTACTCGCTCTATCTGCGTCCCATTAATGTATAAATGAGCCCCGTTTATATTCTCTTTGATGATGCCTCCAAGATGAGGCACTGAAAATATTTTCGGATATACACCTTAAATCTAGAGCGACCGATACGAAATTTTGGTCTTTCATACCAGTCTTTAAGACAAGTTGCTCTGCAGCTCACAGCATTCTTTGGATCAACATACTTGTGTGAGTCTGCATTTTCCCCAATAAACATAGTAAAATCAAAATATCGTAATCGTATAAATGACGAACATTTCTCTTCATGCTTGCGTTTGGCCCTCGTACCATCATATGAAATACTTGTGGATGATATGCAGTGCCATGCATCAATATCCAATTAAAATTAATATGAAACTTGAACTTTAATTACAACTCTCTAGTTACAACTTTTATTAACTAGAAATGTGCAGTAAAGTTTTTTATTTTCAAAATTGTTTTTTTACTATTCTCTGTTTGTAAACCAGGAGGAGTAAACTAAAGAGACAGATTCACACCTAAGAAAGTCACTAAAAAAGTTACCAAATACATCTTCTTTTTTGGTTCATCATATCGGCCTTCGACGGTAATCCAAAAATATTATAAATTATACTAATATGTCGCTAAAGAGTTCTAAAAACAACTGTTGTATATAAAAGCGGACTTAAAATCTAAAAATAAAAAAATAACGCAGAAAACATAAAAATCACAGATATAACTTAATTAACCTATGAAATGCCATTAGTGTCAAAATTTCATAACAGTGGAGTAAACTTGCCTGAGGTTGGACCAATTACAAACAAACATTGCGGCGCGGTAAATTTGAATTACTCCTCCTAGCTTAAAAACAGAGTATAGCAGTCGACCTCCGGACGCTTGCAGTTTACGTGGTAGATCCCATGGAGTATAAGTCTGAGCACCACTGCCGTAGATATACCGGATGAATGAATTTTCCTCTGAGGTATGACTTGACTCTGAATAAACATTTGGGATTTTTTACAAATTTGAAGAAGTGTACTAAATAAAAATAAAGTTAACAAGTGTTGGTTGTGTATTATATATAACTTTAATTGTCACACAATGACTTTCGTGGACAATAAAAGAACCTTATAAAATAGATTTGTTGGTAAAACGTGGGTGAAAAATGGTAATAGCTGTATAGGGGGAATGAATTAATTTGGGGGAGGCCTATATCCAAAGTTTTATTACTTAAGGCTGAAGAAGAGAACAAGAAAAACAAGGTAGTAAAGATTATAAATCTTAACTTTTAGAAATTGTGTGAGTGTGTGTGTGTGTGTGTGTGTGTGAGTGTGTGTGAGGGTGTGTGTGTGAGAGAGAGATGGTATTAGACAAAAAATCTTTATGCTATAGAAAATTGTTATAAGGATGTTTAAATTTTTATTTTAGAATCGTTTATAAACTTGATTAGAATATTACATATAGATTTGTCAGAATAAGATAACAGATTGCTGATAGTAACTGGTAGGCTTATATTGAGATCAATTAAACCTAAATGTATGCTTCAAGTCTATTCTCTATGATTAGAACAATCGAAAAATAAGTGGTTCAAATCTCCGACAAATTTATTATTACAAGGACAGAAAGGAGTTTCATAAATTCCAATCCTATGCAGATGCTCTGGAAAGAGGCCATGGTTAAGTTTTAGCCGGGTTATTAACGAAGAATGTACTTTATTACAGTTAATATTAAAATGAAGAATATTTTTTGGTAAGCATGGATAAATAGAAAAGAAGTGGTTGCTTGAAGTCTTCTGAACCTTTTTATATTTTGACATCCATCTTTCCCTGCCAATACTCCTGATAATAGAAAAAAGATCTTTAAAGTGGTAAAAATTTGTAATTGCGGATATCTCAGATGTATTTTTGGCCATACCATCCACTAATTCGTTTCCACTTACTCCATTGTGTCCTTTAACCTAGAGTAAAGTAACTGTTTTTTTTTTGTAAATTTAAATCATGTAATAATTTTTTGATATCAAGTATAATGGATTTTTGAAAACTATCTAATGGATGGCTACGAATAGCTTGTAATACTGCCTGAGAATCTGTTACTATTACGATGTTTTTACAATAATTAGTGACACACTAAGTTAGTGCTTTTTGTATAGCAGCAGCCTCGGCTGTAAAAATAGAACAACATTCAGGAATTCGATATTTATCAACATAATTGCTGTTTGAAACAAAAAAAGCGAAACCAGTACTTTCAACAGTTTTTTGATCTATCTGTATAAATTATTGTTAAATCTTCCCCTAATTTGCTTAGTATGGATTTGAATATCAGATTAGTTAAAATTGGCAAGTCTGAATAAGAGGCCATTATAATGGTTGGTTTGTCTATCAGAAATTCAAAGTCTTGTACGTAAAAAGGAAATTTTGGTAGCTGTAATATATAAGATTAAAATGAATTCGTATCGATAAAAGATTCTGCAATAGGAGGAAAATTTTTTATTCTCCAGTAAGAATTTGTTAAATTTTCTGTCAAAAGTAAACCTATTTTGTGAACCATAGTTGTACTAAACGATCTGTATGTTATTAGACGTTTTTGGCTAACATTTGCCTACGTATGTGTAAAGGTGATTCCTGGGCTTCTGCTAGAACTGCTTGGTTTGGTGAAGACATCTAAGTCATGGACAAATTTTTATTGATTTAAATTGTATTCTATCAAGAGTTAATAGATTTGTTTTGCATGTTGAACCGTACAGAATACAGCCGTAATCCAGAATGGATCGTCTGTAGGATCTATAAAATAATAAAGAGATATTTTGATCTGCACCCCATCTTTTTTTAGAAACGAAACGCAGAAGGTTAATTTCACGCTCGCACTTTTGTTTTACGTACTTTATATGGCTGGACCACAAGGGTTTTTTTATCTAGGATCATGCCTAGATACTTATCTTTTTCTTCACATGCCATCTCCGCGACGGAGGTTGGCAATCATCATGGCTATTCTGATCTTAGATGCTGCTTCTCTGAATAGTTCAATTAATGTGCATCCGTACCACTTCCTCAAGTTACGCAAACACGAGATTCTTCTTCTTCCTACACTTCTCTTGCCCTGGATTTTCCATTGTATAATCAATTGAAGTAGGTTGTTTCTCTCATTACGCATAACATGCCCCGGGTATTGCAGCTTTCGTGTCTTGACGGTTTCCAATACTTCCATTCTTTTGTTGATTCTTCTCATGACTTCGTTGTTTGTCACATGCTTGATCCATGATATCCGTACTTATACTCTTCTGCTAAGGGGAAATTATAATCACCTATCTGGCATTTGCCTGTGACATTTTGTCTACGCCTAGTGAAACATGCAATCGAAGATTTTTCTTGTGATATACTAAAACCCATTTGTTTCACCCAGTCATCTATATGATATATTGATAATGAAATGGGGTTAAAACGAAGAACAACAGAAGAAATACGAATTTTATTCCTCTAAATGTGTCTATCTTCTAGAGATGTTGGCGACCACGTTGACCTATCTTATTCTATTCACAGCAGCTCGAAATAGACAAGTTGACGTTAGAGCAGTCCATTTGCTAAGATTGACCAGCCAGGATATACGTCCTACATCCAGGGCCTCTCTTACCCTCAATCTTGGCCTGTAAAATCAACTGTAGAAGTCGGTATTTATCAATACGCATCATGTGGCAGAAGTAACCCAATTTTCTGTTTTTAATGGTGTTATTAATTTCTTTGTCTTTTCTTAGCCTCTGGAGAATAGTTATGTTACTTGTGTGGTGTATACATAAGACCCTCAACATACGTCGGTAGCACCACATTTCAAATGCTTTTAATCGTTATATGGCATCTTCTGTAAGGCTCCAGCTTTCTACTCCATGGAGGAGGACTCTTTCTAACTGTGTATCGTTAATTGTAAATTGGGCGTTTATGCCGGTGTTTTTACTAATGATCATTATTTTTGTCTCCCTGCTATTTAGTTTTAGGCCGTATTTGTTACATGTTTCTACAACGTTATCGATCGTCTAACTCCTTTTGCGACTGTGAAGAACTCGGACAGTTTATTTTCTAATCGTACTGTTGCTTTTTGTTGGAGATATAAGTTTGAGATCAGTCTTATATCCTTACCATCGAGTCCTTATGTTTTTAGGATATCGATTAGTATCCCATGTGGGACTTTATCAAATGCCTTTTCGAAATGCGCGAGTGAATAATAGTAGGGAGTACTTTAAATACATGGCTCATCAAACTAATAATTATTCTATGTTCTTCAAACGAATTTTATATGAGGGTGTAAACCTAAGAAATTTAAAATGACAAAAAGTCTTAATTAAGATATATAGAAAGAATGGTGAGAGCACAGTATAGTGCTTTAAAAAGAATTCTTTTTAAAGCACTATACTGTGGTGAGAGTAAGAATAAAAACCTAATTCTACAAAGAAATGAGGTACCAGTAAAGATGTTATTGTCGACTACGATAGGAATTGAGTAATAAAATTAAAAAAGAAACGTCAAAATACTCCGAGGCGAGTAAATGACATTAACGAAAAAAGTTAACGTAACTAGTACAAAATAGGAGAGACATTTAAGGCGAATTTTAAATATGGGAATATATACATAATAAAAAAGTAGACTGGTCAAGAATTAGATAAATAATATATTGTGTATATGAAAAAAAAAAAAGAAACCAGAAATAATAAACGAAATATAATTAATAACAAATAATAAAAAATTGAATACAATAATAAGAGGGCACAGAAACCCAACTCTGACAGCTAAAAATATATTGGAAGTTGATGTTTTTTTGTTGCTTGCAAAAAAATTCATAAAAAAGTATTCATTTTTTATTTGCCTTATAATAAATGTTAGACATGTTTTTCGATCGGAAAAAAATTAGACCAAATAAATAGGACATAATTACATAATGACACAATTACACAATTACCAAAATTTATTAAATGATTTATCGCTATAATGTAAATGTCAACAAAATATCAAGAATAAGTTTTGTAAAAACTCTAATAATTATTAACTTTCTTTTATTAAACATCAGTCTTGCTTGATTTGAAACACTTTCTAAATAGTGTTAACACTTGTAAGTGACCGTAAAATTGTTGCAAACTGTTTTTTAATCACTTTCACGAGATAATTATTTAATTCGTCAATAGAAACCAAATTATATGAAACTAAATAACCATAACAGCTAATGTTTTTGCAAATTGTCTAAATAAAAAAAAAACAATAAAATTAGTAAACTCAAAAACAAGTTAAACTTTTTCATCTCTTTAAAAATAATTTCCTAAGCGGCTTTCCTTTCTTTTTCTAGATGTTCCTCATAACGTTTTTTAAAGTTTCCTTGTGGATCATACTTCTTGGTAAGTCTTTCCCAGTCCTTGGGCCTTCTTGACATCAGATGTTTCATCACCTTCTCAGCTGTTTCTTTTTGTTTTGTATTGCATTTTGTGCAACCTGAAGCAAGAGCGTCTGGGAGTGTTTCTGAAACAAAATTAAGGTTTAGAAAAATAAATTTCGTTCGAAATATATTTAAACTAAACGTAAAAAGATTTTTTACAGGTTAGTTGAAAATTAATTGAAGGCATATGAAATGTCACTATATTTTGTTTTTTATTTAAATTAATGTGTCACGGCTGCAATAGACATTGGCACAAACAACATTGTATACAATCTTTAAAATGAGGACCCATTATTAAAAATTGCTACAGTAATTTTTTTTTATTTATTTATTTAATGGCGTCCTATCCACTGAGGTTATAAACGGCAATGAAAATACATATTAAAACAAAGGAAAGTTATAATATTAATTACGTACTAACATTAAAGAAGATTGATATACGTAATTTTTGATACAAACTATATTTTAATTTAATAGTATATTACCATAGATAAAATTACACCTAGATTGGTAACAGGGATAGGCAATGTCAAATCACGTTCGCACATAGCGGCGCTGCTAGTCTCGTTCCTACGTGGAGAGAGTGTGCTGTGGTCAAATCAAAGTTGAATTTAGACAAATAAGGCGCCATATTTGGATTTGTTTTATTTTTTATAATTTATTTTATATTTTAAAAGTTTTTATATCAGTAGTTCAAAAAGTACAATTTTAGACGATTTTTTATTATGGACTTGAACACATTACATGGAATAACAATGTAGAGACGAAGAACTGAACAAAAAATATGTGTTTTAGATTGCATGGATACTACTGGCAAACAATATAGTTTTTCAAGTCCAGGACATTATATCAAAATTATATGGATATGTCTGTGTAATGTGAGCGTAGCAAGTGAGTGAGAAGTTGAATTAAAGGGCTAAGTAGCATGGAAAAGATAATAATTATTCGAGATAATTATTATATGTTCCGAATCAAATAAGGGATAATTATTACAGTAAAATTTGCATTTTAAATCACACAAAGAAATTGACTTAGTTATTGCATTGTTTGATAATTGTTTAAAGGTATAAAAATCACGAAACTATTGTTGTAAAAAAATAACAACACCCGTGACCCAAATAGGAGCAATAACGCCAAAACTACAACTCAGCGAAAACGCAACCTTGGACTACAACCGGTCAATGAGGACACCATTTGATAAAAACCGAACTAAGGACGCCAGTCAGTCAGTAGTTGGTAATGGGCAGTCAGTAATGGGCAGTCAGTAATTGCTGAGCTCCGGCTCGGACGCGATAGCGTCCCGTACGCGATCAGTACGAGACAGTCGGTAATTCTCCGGGGGACGCTTATCATCCGGCCTAGTATCGCGTGTAGTCCGGTTATTGTGGCAGCTCGTAAGTTTGTAACTCAGGAGGAGACCCTCAACTGACCGAGTTCCAGAAGACTGAACGTGTCGTGGTTGAAAGCCCTAATACACACATAAGGTAACAGATTTCTTTATACTAACCTGTGTAATTATATTAGTACAACTGTTAACTCTTTACTATCTTTACTACTACTAACAAGTTTTCTAAATCCTGCCCATGCTAGTCTTGCTCTTTTAGTAATTTCCGCACTTTGGTTCTCTTTGTCAAGTCTCAGGATTTGGCCTAGGTAGATATATTCCTGGAATTGTTCTATCTCACTGCCGTTTATAGTTATATGTCTGGGGTCTTCTGTGATTGTCATTATTTTTGTTTATTTCATATTCATTTTTAGGCCGACGCGCGACGTATTGGGAGCTGGCTGCTAGTTCCCCTAACATAATTTGCAGTTCTTCGAATGTGATCACTTATAAAATTAGTTAATTATAAATTTAACCTAAAATTATATATTATAAAATCAGTCTTACTTGCTTACTGTTTGAATTATTTTGTAGGTGGTGGTTCAACAACTATCTTAAAAATCATCACCTTAGAGAGGGTTTGACATAAATTTCTACAGGTATGCGCCTTTCAAAGTTGGATTAGATTAGCAGACCATGACTACACTATCATATGGAGAGGTCTATGAGCTTGCCTGTTAGGTGCGAGGAAGAATCTGTTTCTCTCTTGTGAGTGAGGTGGGTCTTAGAGTACCATATTACCATGGTTTGTCTCATCTATGTACTTTTAATGTTCCATTTTATAGAACAACCTAAATCTAAATGTATTTAATATGTCTTTCAATAAATATATAAATATTAGTAGAAAAGAGTTACTGGTAACATAAAGTTTGAAAACTTAACTTTGTAAAATACTTCATGTTTTTATTGTAACTAGGTAATACTTTACATATTTTTTTATTTTTAATGTTATTTTTCCATATTTCTGTTTCCAACTTAGCAGAGTTCTTGAGTTCTGTCTTTCTGTGAGTAGAACGCCAGACAGTAATAGTTCTCACTGACCGCTGGTAGTGTGTGTTATTAGATTAAGATGTAAGTACTACAAAGAACTCAGAATGTCTGACGGCTGTCTGTTGCTTATTAGGCTTTAATTTGACATTAGAATTCCAAAAAACTTATTTAATTACTGACAAGTTCTTGTCACAACATTTAAAACACTAAATTATACTACATTGGTATAAAATTGCAACTATCTTGGTTTATTTTTAGCTTCAGCTGATTTATAGCCAGATTGAAAATCTGAATTTTCCAATCTTGGTTCATAATTATCATCAGGTTTTTCTTCTTCTTGTAGTGCCTATCCGTTTCGGATGTTGGCGACCATCATAGCAATCTGCACTTTACACACTGCTGCTCTAAAAAGATTTGTGGTTGTTGTATTGAACCACGTTCGTAGATTTTTCAGCCAGGAAATCCTTCGCCTTCCTGGTCCCCGTTTTCCTTCTACTTTTCCCTGCAAGATTAGTTGCAGCAGTCCATATCTTTCGCTGTTCCTCATGATGTGACCGAGGTATTCGATTTTAGCTGTTTTTATTGTGGTTAACAGCTCTTTTTCTTTTTTCATTCTCAACAGAACACCCTCATTAGTAACGTGGTCGGTGTACGATATCTTCAGGATGCGACGATAAAGCCACATTTCAAAAGCCTCAATTTTCTTGCAGGTGGCGTCTGTGAGAGTCCATGACTCAACTCCGTACAACAGTATAGGAAAGATATAACATCGTAGTAACCTGATTTTTATGGGCATTGATAAATCATGACATTTGAATAACTTGGCCATTTTTTGAAATGCAGATCTTGCTTTCTCTATTCTACATTTGATTTCTATGGAATGGTCCCAATTTTCATTGACGTTCGTACCAAGGTAGGTGTATGTTTTTACTCTTTCTATTTGTTGACCGTTTACACTGATTTGTTCAAATTGCTGTTCCTTCTTAGAGATCATCATGCATTTTGTTTTCTTGGTGTTTAGTGAAAGTCCGTATCTCTGACTGACCTCTGTGATTCTGTTCATTAACTCCTGGAGGGCTTCAGAGCTGTCAGCAAATACTACCGTGTCGTCCGCGTATCTAATGTTATTGATTAATTCTCCGTTGATTCGAATTCCGGCTTCAACATCACCCACTGCTTCTTGAAAGATTTCCTCAGAGTATATATTAAACAGCAGTGGTGATAGTATACATCCCTGACGGACGCCACGTTTGATTTTGATGTCGTCGGATTCTCCTGCCTCTGTCCGGATAGATGATGTTTGATTCCAGTACAGATTGCTGACAATTCTTAAATCACAAGTGTTTATTCCAATATTGGTTAGTATCTCCATCAGCTTGTCGTGCTTTACTGTATCGAACGCTTTATGGTAGTCAATGAAGCACGCATAAATGTCGCAGTTCACGTCTCTACATCGTTGGAATAGCACTTGTATACTAAAGAGAGCCTCTCTCGTACCCACTGCATTCCGAAAACCAAACTGTGTACGGCTGATTTTTTCTTCGCACAGTCTATATATCCTTTGATGTATGATTTTTAGAAATAATTTTAAAATATGACTCATTAAGCTGATGGTTCGGAAATCACTGCAGGATACGGATTTTGTTTTCTTTGGTAAAGTAATAAAGGTCGACTTAAGCCATGTTCTTGGTATTACTCCGCTTAAGTATATATCATTAAATACCTTTGTTAGGTGTTGAATACCGTCGGTGTTAAATAGTTTTATGAGCTCAGCATATGCATTGTCAGGTCCAGGAGCTTTGCCATCTTTTAGTTGTAATATGGCTTTTTGCACTTCATCTGATGTGATTGGTAAGTGGTCATCACATATGTAAGATGGAGGTTGTTCGGATCTAGTATCATCAAAGAGTTCTTGTATGTATTTTGTCCATATGCGGATTTCTTGATTTTTGTCTGTGATGATATTCCCCTGTTGGTCTCGCAGTTTGTTAGCTGTGTTGGATTTCTGAAGACCAGCTGCTTGTTTCACCTTTTTATGCATGTTAAACGTATCATGTTTTTGTTCTAACAGCTCTATCTCTTCACACTGTGATTTTAACCAATTTTCTTTGGCCTTTCGTATTTCGGTTCTTATTTGTCTCTGAATCTTGTTGTACATTATTTTGTTGTTCTTTGATTTTCTTCTTTCTTCCATAAGTTGCAGTATATTGTCATTCATCCAACTTTTTTTCTTATCTTTCTTTTCTGTAAGATGTTCTTCTCTGATCTTGTTAAATGTTTCACATATATTTTGGAGTGATTCTTCGGCATTATATGTTTGCTCCATATTACTTAGCTTTTCTGAAAGAATCTGTGCGACTGTTTCTTTTGTTTTGTTATCTTTTAGTCTTCTCATATCGCACTTTTTGTTACTATTCTTTTTTGTGACCTTCTTGAATCTAAACCTAAATTTACCAACAACCGGAACATGATCTGATGATACGTCCGCACCGGGGTAACTCTTAGCTGATAGGCATCCATTACGAAATCTTTTGTTCACCATTATGTAGTCAATTTGATTCCGTATTACGTGTCCTGGTTGATCTTGCGGGGAGACCCAGGTATACAAGCGTCTTGGTGGTAGTTTGAAGAATGTATTTAGTATTGCAAATTCTTCTTCCTCTACAAACAGTTTTAATCTTTCTCCCCTTTCATTTCTCTGCCCTAGAC